AGATAAGTTTATTTGATTCTTAATTGTAATCGAATAAAGTTGTCTTTAAACCACCTGATGAGTCCCTTGAGCAAGGACGAAACCGGTCGTGGTATTGCTTAACTTATTTCTTTATATTCTATCAAAAATTATTGAGTTATATACCTTTCTTTATTTAACTATGCCTAAGCCATTACTTCTTCAATTTTTGGATGAGTTTTGACTTATATGTAGTTATTATGAAATTCTAAACATACCTGAGGATGACCCTTAAGCAAGGTCGAAATCCGGATCGTGTGATGCTCTGAATTTCATTTCTTTATATTCTATCAAAAATTATTGACTTATACACACCCACTATTATTGTAGGTGTAATTATCCTCTCTACAGGATAGATATTTCAAGTATTATGTATTTGATTTGAACTTCTAGTTTACATCTTATATACTAGTACTAAGGACACTTGATAAGTTTGAGAATCAGTAACATCGAAATAATCTATACATAGGTCATCGTGGTAACTTATACACACACACACCCTTAAGTTTCGACTTCTTCTAACACTGAAGATACATCTTGTTTTGGATTTTACTCAAAAAATTCAAAATAGATTAAGACATCTGAATGAGTCCCTTAGTCCGGACGAAACCGGTCATGGCAGCTCAGAGAATTGTTTCAAAATTTTCTACATATCCTCAAAAATTGAGTTTCATAGGACTATGTAGAAGATATTTTAATTGATTTTCGCAATCGATTAAGATGTCTTAAGCCACCTGTGGAGACCCTTGAGCAAGGTTGAAACCGGTCGTGGTATTGCTTATCTAAATTTTTGTTCAAAAAATTCAGAATAGATAAGCCATCTGAATGAGTCCCTTAGTCCGGACGAAACCAGTCATGGCAGCTCAGTGATTATTTTATTTTATTTTAATTGAATAGTCGACAGATAATCGGTTGCTAAAAAGCAAGAGTTGAGACTAGCAGATTGATTTGTATTTGAAGAATATAAGTCGATCTGTTCTTGTTTAAGAAAAAGAAAGCTCAACATGAGAAACTATATTTGTAGCGTGTTCAGTTAAAATCAGGATTTAGTTCATTATATTGGCCAATGCTATTCTGAGTTTTATCAGGTTTACTGTAGTCAATTTGCGTGTTCTTAAATTCAACCTGGTCAGTCTTCGTTTCATTATGTTTATCCAAACTAATCTGTTCTTGTTCTGAATTATTCATATGTTTAGTAATCGAATTGGCAGCTAAAATATTCAAACGTTCGATTCCAGTTACACACTCTGAGACAGATTCATTTCGATGACTATCATTGGTAGGAAGCATTGTTGATGGCATTGACGTTCTAGTATTATGCTTGGGCTATTACAGAAAAGAATACACATTAGTAGCATAAAATAGTCTGACTAATTAATAAGGAAGAAAATGAATTACTTACGGAGAATTTGTCAACAATCGAATGATTGTAGTTCCTGTTAATCGAAGAACTCTCAAGACACGTCTCTCTGATGTTACTTTTATTTTCAAAATATTTGCGTCTCCTTTCAAAATAACTTTCTTGGTTTTGTTTGTTACTGTATGACGATCTCCATACAGATTGTGCCTGACGATGGCGAACAAAGTCAAAACCATCTCCGTCGAACAGTCTAAAAGACAAAGATACATAAAGCAAATTGTTTATCATTGGTGCAGATATTTTCTATTAATTAGAAGTTAGACAACACCTATAAGACTACGTCTTAAAACTGGTATTGCAGTTCTGTTTCATAATCATTACGTTGTGTCGTAATAACATAATATGATAGGGTAAAGAATTCTTCATAGTAATTGACTTTGGACTTCTATAAGAAGGACTTTTTTGTGAAGATAATTGTAATATGTATTTTACTATCGGTTACTCCGAATACAAAAAGGGTAAACACATCGTTCATCACTACATTTAGTATAGCTGCTTGCATCACACTAAATCAGCCAACTAGCTGAACTCAGTCCAGTTTAAATCATTTTAGCATAACTGTTTAATATGCAGTAACAAATCTTTAGTTTTAAAAAGCAAATACCTGGCTCTGAATACTTTACAATAAATTAAGACATACTCAGTGACTGTGTCTTAGACTGTTCCATGGACTTAGCATTTGAAACCCGAGAGAACCGCACTTAAGTTAACTCTCTCGAGACTTCGAAGGAATTGATTATGCTTAAGCCTCTATTTTTTTAATACGGTTATCGAAAACATGAAACGTAAGAATGTCAGTGCACGTGTTCTTGTAACTGATACAAACATTCATACTTACTCTTACACTCCAAAACTTCAAAAATAGTATATGCGTTGTTCATAGTTTCAACAGTCTACTGAATTACCAAGAGCCTAGCACAAATCACAAGATAGGTAATAACTCCAGAATCTGTTTATCCTGATGTATGATGGTCAATAAGTAATTGATTGTCAGTGAACTGATAAATTAATTAGCTAATCGATTAATATGGGTGTTACATTAGTGGGACAAAATCCAAAATTTTACTTTCCCGACGATCATATGACATGCCGGTGGACTATCTTTTTTCTCTGAGTACTGAAAATCTACGAGGATCTCTGTTTTTTCAATACCAACTACTTTTCAAAAAACATTGTGAACTGTTGTCAATTCGCACCGAAAGCCCTTCTTCAATCCCAAAATCATGTTTAAATAATTTGTTTTCTTTACGAAGCAACTTAATTGTGTGTAGCTGATGAATTCAGAACGAAAGAAAGCTTAATTTTAAGGTTAGCTGTTACTTGACTCTTCATCAAAGGTTCTAATGTTTTTATCCTGGACTTGTGACTGGAAATTATTGAAACATGAAAATAGTATTCTGATAGGAATTCTTCGTTTCATTTTTGGATGATTTCAACCATTTTCCTACTGAAATTTGCCCATGGGTCTGGATCTAAGCATTTGAAAACATCTGTAAAATGTATATAGAAGCGTCAGATAATTCATTTCGCATGTACTCAAATGTGTCCATATATTATGATTTTTCAACACGATAATGAGCTATTGTCCGAAGGATCGCTGAGAGATCGTTCAATTACATGCAAAAATATAAATTATAGATTATGAAGATACTTACAATGTAAAGCCTTTTATTTGTTTCGCTGCCTTGCGCAGTTGCTGTTCACCATATGTAGAAAAGCCACAGTCATACAGTTTATACACTTTAAATCTTCGCTCTTGTTGAAATAGCTTCAGAAATAAGTCAACACTTTTGTCAGTTATTCTTTTGTTAGAAAAAATATTTAGATTAATAATGCTAGTGTTGTGCTTAATTAGAGTTTCCAGTAATCTCTGAACTCCTGCATCGCTTATGTCATTCTTTCCAAGTGCCAGATTAATTATTGTTCGATTTACCATAAGCATATTAGCAAGAGAATTGACGCCGACATCGGTAATATTATTTTGATCAAGGTACAATGCCCTTAGCATTGAGATACTGTTGGAAATTCCACTCACATCAGTCTATTAATACAATTAAAAAGAACATAAGAACACTCAAACTTATACGGAATTATATTAATACTAAACGTCAGGCTCAAATTCAATTATTGAACTTTTTTGGAACATCTCTGTAAACTTCGAATCGTCAATAATTCACTTCTTTGTGCGTATGTCTGTGTGGAAGAGTGTCTAATATAGGTGAAATACGCACGTATTGACAACTCTTATAGATCATATCTCATTGGTGGCGACATGGCTGTGTCTGAATCTGTAACAAGTAAAAAGCGAAAGTTTTCCCGAAAGGCTCACAAAACTGAATACTCTTATAAAGTATTTCAAATATTCGAACAACTTCACTATTATATAGTTAAACAAACTATCCAATAATTGAATTCAAGTTTCAAGTTTCACATATATGTCAGAATAGATGATATAATTTACCTCAGACATTGAATCGTTATCCACATCGTTAGTCTTGCCTGCAATTGCCGCGCACAAATACTGCACGCCCTGATCACCAATTTGATTGTAGTCGAGACCAAGATGAGCAATTGATCTACTAATTTTAAGCAATTCACTCAGATGTTTGGCACCACTTTCTGTAATAGAATTCGATTGCAAATGAATTTTTGCCAATGCCGAATTTCCTTTTTGTATAGCTTTTATCAGGTGTTCAACACCCTTATCACCAATGTTATTATAACCAAGATTCAATTTCTCTAAACTTGTATTGTTTTCTAATAAATTTGCAAGTTTTAGAGCTCCTTTCTCTGTAATACGATTATGATGTAATATTAGTTGTTTGCACTTTGTACCACCCATCAGCTGCTCCACTACAATCTCCACGTCTTCGTCATTATAATTCCTATTAGACAAGTCGATCTTTGGCTCTTGAGCAAAATTTGCTGTGTAACTTTTGAGTTTCAATTTACTGGAACTTGAAGCCTCTGCCATTATTTTTATTCAGACTACAACACTCCGTAAATTATAAATCTAAAAAATAATTTAAAAAAATATTTCTAACAAATAGATAAAGACTTCTAAAACAATCAACAAAATAATTTCTGTTAATTTTAACAAAATAACACCCACACACCCACACCCTCAAATAAAACTACCATCATGGATTGCTAAGAAATACTAAAGACTGTAGGAATAATTATCGAGACCAAGTATGATCACAGGACAGAATGACTTAGATATCCTGATGTCCGGCAATATGTTTACTTTGAATATCGTACAAAATTAATTAGCTACAAAGAAAGCTCGGGTGATTCTTATTTTTCCAAATTAAATTATAATGAAACAATGTTCTTTTAGGGTTTTTTGGATGTCTACACAAATGAATTTATTATAAACATTGCGAAAAATGTGATCTCTTGTCGTTTTATTAACATAGCATGATAATATAGCAGGAAAAACACATTGACCAGCACAAAACAAGATAGAATTGAAAATCGTGTCCTGGGTTCATCTTTGATAGAAACTATATGAATCATGGAAGAAAATAATTCAAAAAAAATAACGGACACCCTCCGAAAATCAAAAGTCATCGTCATCGATAGACGCATTTACAGCAGCATCCAGTACAGAGCTGTCGATAACGCCTGCACATTTTGCGTCATATATATTGTCGACACCGACAAGAATATCACCTTCATCCGTTACCTCAGTATTATTAGCCCCATGGTCATCATCATCACCAATATAATAATTATGAGAATGAGCACAACTAAGATAGACATTAATGGCTTGAGGATCATCATAATCGTTAGCGTGTGTAAAATCAACAGTAGCATCATAATACGCAGCTATGGCGGCGATATTAGCAGCACTAACACCAGCACAAGCAGCAGCAAGAGCAGCGTCATAGGCACGATCATACGCATAAGGTATGCAATCATAGTTGTCATAATATTTGGTAGCATAGACAGCAGCAGCAGTAGCAATGTCTTCATAAGTTGATTTATCAATTGGTCTTACAATACTAGTATTGATGTCATTACTTTTGTGCGTTTCTAAAAATAGAGATTAGTAACAAATGTTCATTTTATTAATCTTAAGTGTGTTAAGCATTTTCTATGACTATGAGTATAGCTTTAGTCAGTACTGGTTTTGATATAGATACATTCATTGATTTTTTGTATTATTTAAACAATCTTAAATTTTGGCAGCACATTGAGGCAATAAATGCTTCTTTCTGTTACGTCGAGAGCCTAGGACTCTGCTATGAATTTATAATGAGCCAAATTAAGAAAGAAAAAATAAATTTGTCTATCACGGACACCATAATGAGCATGTGCCCATCGATGAGATATAGAAACAAATGTTGCATTTTTTTCACTAGCAAAATCATACAATACTCATTTCGTGAAACAATCACAATAAAAGATTTATTGATAAAAGCTAAAGTGTAGTACTGCCACAGGTTTCTCCAAGATCCCATAAATCTGTGACAATTAATGATCGGTCATGATGATCAGTTTATATCTTTTACGAATTAGATGTTTCGAATCTTTTTAGGTTGAATTATTCAAAGCTGAATATTTTTCGCTCTCAACCTAACCCTGAAACCTTTTTTCTTATTGCTCGTTTATTTAGCACTAATCAAAAATATAGAATGATCTGTTTTATTTTCGTCTGAAAGTCCTCTAATTAGTATGAGTATGAATGTGGGTGTGAACGTAGGATAGAGATGAGAGAAACTCACCCACACCCTCATGATAGTTTCCGTGCGTGTATTTGATTTCAAATAGCCAAAAATTTTAAAGGGATTTCCAAATGGGCTCTTCTTTTCCAAGAAACAGAACTCATTCGAGGCTCTCGAGCTCCGAAACAAGACGCTAAGATGGCATTTCTATTTGTGAATCAACATATTTGAATAATCCAGAAAACATTCATGAATATGGATTGAATTACATTACCTGTATTCTCAATTTTCTTTTCAGTCCGTGTTCTGTCTTCAATTATGTCATAGTTTCTGGTGATCGACTTTTGTTGAACTACTTCTGAAGGATGGTAATAATCAACTACAATGAGTAACATTTTTCGAAATTGACGAAAAATTTGTAAACTTCCACTAATTTTTGTTTTGAATTTGTCATAGTTGAAATTCGTTGGTGCTTTGATAATAACATATTTTGTTCTCGATTTCAACGTTTCGCATACATCTGCCAGCGAGGTGTCTCCAAGAAACAATTCAACTTCACCCTTGTCTTTATAAGAAGGACCCCCCCATGGTGGATCTAAAAACACAACGTCTTGAGTTAATCTACACATTAGATCTACGTAGTTTGCATGATAACAAGTCGCGTTTCTACATTGTAATATCCTCAAGTTATGAATTAACATTTCATATCGAGTTTGATTTAATTCAACTGCTTGGACTTTCGTGAATTTCTTACAAAACGAACTTGTATTACCACCAGCACAAGCGGTTCCATCCGTGATTACACTATAATCATTATTTAAGCCATCTAGTTTCGCAATGAAATCGGAAATATCACCTGCTGTACGCATATCTGTTACACTATACTTGGCTTCTTCATCCAATTGTATTTGTTCACGTATATTTTTAGGTACATCACGAAACAAAAAATCTCGCTTGTCAAATACTAAGTCTTTGCCATTTTTGACATGTTGTGAAGATAATTTGTTAGAGCTATAGTAAATATTACTGCTTTTCCACTCCAATTTACTTACCGTACCATTTATCGAACTTTTGTATTGTCTCCAACAAGTTTTCCCACTGTTTATAGTTGGGTCTTTTTCGATTCCACTCAAAACTTTGCCATTTTTTTGCCATTTTTTATCATCCTCGGAACTAAAACTTTTTGTCCCGTCTTTCTCATTACTATGTTTAGGTAATAAACTAGAATTCGTTCTTCTTTTTTCTGTATCTCTATTCTGTTGTTCTCTACAAGATATTAATAACATATTGAGCATGGCCTTTGTGAAGCCCCTTTCCATTTTTTTGATTTTTGGTTTTCAAGTATTTGTTTATATTGGTAAGAAGTTCTCTCTGTCTGTTTTCGAAGAATTGTATACTACAAAAAAGTATAAAAATAAACATTCATTACACATAATATTTCTTCAAAGCCGTAAATCAATGTAAGGTACATAAATGCCTACAGATTAGGAAAACATTTTAACTATGAGGGTGTGGATGTGGAGAACTCGGTTGTTGATGTGAATAAATGAGTTAGGGCATTCACACCTCACACCTTAAAGAACAGAACATCAACATCATCTATAAATTTCATAAGAAAGTCGATTTTGTGATCGTTTACAGAAACATTACTTCTATGAAATATGTTCTGCTCTGAAAGCAATAATCCCCTTTATTTTCATTTCTTCGCTTAGGAATACAAAATATAGAAGGGTAGAAATCGATAAGGTTGGTGTGAGGATGGGAACATGGATTTCAGGCTTTATATTCGTGTAGTGCACAGTGGTCCTTGGTAGTTCGGATATTAGATTTTGAGTTACGCTGTTATTCATTGGAATCATTGATTCCAAAATTATTCTTGCTTTCAAAACTTCTTTCTAATATTTTGATATTTTTCTGCTTCCAGGAGATAAATCATTTGGAAGAAAAAATTATATATTTGGTTATAATTCGTTCCAGTAGTTCTCTGCTCGTGACTTTGATAAAACTCAGAAGAAAAGAAGAACAATTTACAGTCTACTTATGTTCACTATATGATTGGCACGTCTGTCAACGATCGACGTTTGCTGAATGATTTGGCATATGTTACTGATATTTTTACATACTATCGGGTTTTTCTCACTGTGAGAATTTTCTCGATGGGTGTAGGTGTGGCTGTGGATGCAGTGTCTCGCTTTGTCACACCCACACCCTCGTCTTCTCTGCACTAGGGATGTGCAGTTTCAGTTTGGTGATCACCAACAACCACCGACGCTGATAATCTGAGAGCACTGATAAAATCAGTGCTAATAATCACTAGAAATATCTTAATTCTAACAGAGCCGTCACTGAAAAACCGACGAACAACATTGCAACGTAAACTGAATCATTGACACTCAGTGGCACTTATGATTTCGTTCACAATAAGCACACTGACACCCTGATTTAGTCGATTTATTCATAGTGTTTATTTATTCGCCATTGAGAACAGAAAAGAGTAGCAAATTATACCATATCTAACAACCCTTCACTGTATAACTTCATAATCATATGCAGTGTACGGTTATTTTAAAAGATTTGTCTCCTTTTACAATAGTATCACGCATTATTATGATGACATAGATTAATGTAATATGAATAAGCTATGCAATGCCTTTCAACTGGCAAGTAAAGCGTTAATATTTTCGATGAATCAAAAAAATGGTTATCCTTGTTCAGTAACTAATAGTATCAACAATTTTATGAATAAAATCGTTAAAAAATACAGACAAAAATATTTGATACAACTTTCAATGGTTTATTTTGTCTTTCAGAAAAACACTTGATGCAAGATTATCACCAGTTATACGAGCTCGTTCTTTTCTAGCCAAAAATGATGACATACTGAAACAGGTTTCGCTTGGTACTGATGTTGCCGGAGTGCTTAAATAATTTCTCGCTAGCTTTGCCAAATTAGGAAAACCGTTTGCATAGGTTTGCCAAAATAATGCTGATGACGTTGCGTCTGTTTTATGTGCTGAATTAAATTCAGTTACGTATTTTCGATAACTTCGAATATCGTCATGGATTGTGTCTTTTTTTTCATCAGATTGAGTTTCTGTATAATCAAGTTCACCTATAGATTCATTAAATGCATCAATAACACTTTTATGTGAGCTTCTAGGTAGATTCAGTTTCTTCGCTGATTTGCTCGTGTTCAAACTAAGTGGTTGTGTCGATATTACCAATTCTGTTGAATGAGAGTTGTCATCAGTAAACATCTTCCGTATATCTTCTTCTATTGAATTTTTTTCACACTCGGTTAATATCGTATATCCTGCAGGATCAAAGTAAGAATGGAACTAAACAAAAATAAATAATAGTTTAACTAGATTTATTCAAATACAGCTATCAATTTGTTCGCGATACATTTCAAGAAGGCAAGACTTTCACAACATTGAAGCATTTCTCAGATTAATCCGAACAAAAAATTCTACGGCTGACTTTTGGTGAAGGAAATTTAAGAAAAATCAACAGGACAATCATCGTCTCTATTTACTTTGAGTAGTTGTACTTGTTGATCATCACCTTCAAAGTAATAAATAAACTGTAATAATAATAACTGCTTCAGGCGTTTAATTAGAATATTTTCTTTTTTCTCAAGTTTCTGCAGAAAAGTTTTTAAACGTGAAAGTAAATAAAAGGCGAGACCAATCGATGGATAATCACGACCAGAGAGAACTTTAGTTGCATGGAAAAATGGTTTAAGAACCGTATATAACGCTGACAGCATTATCCAATCGTCACTTTTATACTCAAGAGTAGTTAATTTCTTTATTTGCTTTGGATGTATACGCAAACTGTGTTTTTGATTAAATAATTTTTCAATAACTTCACGAAGAGCTAAAAAAGCATCAATCATACAATATGTACTATTCCAACGTGATTTAACATCATAACATAAGTTTCGCTTAATATTTAATTTTTCTCTTTCTCTATCGAAAAATGATGTAATAATTATTGAACTTTTAATCATGAGAACCAAACTTCGACATTTCTTGATAACTGATACAATTATATCTTGATCAGAAGTACTATGATTCTCTGATTCATTAACATCTGCTGTCCAGTTATCCATAATTTGTTCGTCGATAATATCCGATAATAATTCTTCCTCGTAAATATCACCTTCTTCAAATGATTCATCATCGGGTAATTCACCATCACTAGTAAAGTCTGTATCTATTTCAACATTTTCGGCATTATTTTGAAATTCATGAAAATCTATCATTTCTTCTTCTCCTTGAGAGTTCAATGTATCATACATAAGTTCTATGGAAACGAAAAAATATAGCTCTACGGTTGAAAACTAGTGTCTTCTGATTAAAACGAAAGTGATCAAGTTATTGTAAGACTTTTATTGTACTTCAAGTATTTCAATAATAAAGATTTATATATCAATCAATCAAGTTCAATAAAGTCGATCAAATAGTGCATGATAACGTAGAATTTCATAGAATTCGAATCTGGAAGAAATTATTGCAAGTTTGCATTTTCGAGAAACAAATTGCTCTTCAGTTTCGTATAGTTTAAAATAACTCCTGCTCGATCATTTCGACGACCAAGTACTACGAGAGCGAACAAAAAATATGCTTAAAAATTCTCCATTCTCATCGGGAAACGCTATCCAGGGCGAACAACTGGACACTAAGATCGGACAAGGGTCTGCGTCTGATCACATATGATCTTGTACGATTTGGTATGAACCGTACAAAAACTCGTAGTCTCTGAAATCTTACATTAATTCTTATTGTACGATTCTTGACAGATCTTGTTCTCCTGTCAGATCTTACTGTAAGATTATAGAACATCATATGCGACGATAGGATGTGACGAGAATCATACAATAGGAATTCATGTAAGATTTCAGAGACTACGATATTTGGACGATTTCATATGATCGTACAAGACTTACTCTCCGATTTTTTGACCTGAGTAGAAATAAATGGAACATGAGAATTGTGCTACAATGAGAACGCTGAAAGTTTTCTGAATTATTTCCGGTTGTATTCTATTGGAAAGAATAGTAGTTGTTTTGAAATTATTGGAAAAAGTCGAAGCAATTTTCAGTTGTACTAATCCTTCCACCTTCTATTAAACTCAAGTGTTTTCCTATGAGAATCGATCATAACTCTAGATCTTAAATTGAAACAAGAACTCCGAAAAAATGAAATAAATTTCTGTTTCTTTTCTGTCTTTATCTTTTTCATATTTGATGCACTCTTTTCAACTAGATGTAACTAGAAAAGGAAAAGTCATAAAATTCAGCTTACGTTGCGTTTCAAGTGTTTCATTCTCATCAATATCCTCTTTCTTCACGATCCAAAATCCAAGCGCATTAATAATTGTCAGATGCAATCTATGTGCTATACACCAAACACGCTTGGAACCCAAACCAATGTCATTAATTGCACGCACCATATTCTTGGCCCCGTCGGTTGTAACACGAATAACCTTGTTTAGAATATTCAACTCTTTCAATTTTGCTTGTAGTAATTGAGAAATTTCGTAAGATTTATGTTCTTTATCGACCATAGAGAAGTTTAAAACCGTCGATTGTAAATTAAAACTATTGATATTAAAATAATGACCAGTTATAACCAAAAAACTTTTCATCTGTCGATTACTCCAAAAATCGAGGGTAATCGATATATGATCAATAAGTGTTAAATCATCAATTAATTTCTTACGATAAAATACATGAAGACGTTTCAGACGACGAGCGACCATGTAACGATTGGGTGGCTCATATCCTACAAGAAGAAGCAAAATACGATTCCAATGATAAAAGTTAACATAGGTATTGGGGATATTTTCTTTAGCAAATAATTTTCGTTGCAAAAGCTGTTCGATAGACTATCATGCTTCAAATTAGAGTGGACAATGATTTGTTTTGCAATCTTTTGATCATGCTATAATTCAAACATTTATAGTTATAGATCGTTTTCAAATATGTTTTCAAATCCACCATTAAAAGACAATTCATTCGGTCTATAGAAGCATACACTTTACTTATAATTTGTTTTATTGAAACAGGCATCTGAATTCCTCAATTTTTTAAGACCTAAACATGTTTAACCTACATTTACACAGAATCTGACTGGGCTGGCTTCATGCTTGAATATAGATATTGTTTACATCAATCAAATACACATTTGTTATTTATTTTGATAAACCTACCAGGAATCAGCTCTTCTAAAAGTTTCTTCATCCCTGGTTTGTGAAAATCATTGAAAGTTCTTCCGTCTCTAATTATACAATGAATAAATAAAGCATTTAATTCTTGTTGTTTCTGGATACTAATCGAGGACTTGACAACTTTACGTTTCTCATTTGCCAATGCTAATTCGTGTAGATTATGTTTCGTTATCAGATGTTTACGTAAAGTGGATGTTGATCCATTGTGTGTAGATATTTTTTTGTTATCCGCACATAGACAACATGCAGAATAGTTAGAATTAGGACAACGTATAGCATATTGCCATACATTTGATGAAAACGATACTAAACTTCCATTTGCTCTCCGAAATAAAGCATTTTCTTCCTTTGACGATGAAATAGCTTTTTGTCCTATACCTTTCAATTTACTTTTGTTATTAAGTTTACACTTGTTCTTGTTGTTATTCTCTTCATCGTTCATATTACGGACGTCAAATAATTTTGAACTGGAATTATTGTCGTGTGTAGTTGTATATGAAAACAAACTTGTTTTATTGGTTTTATTATAATCGTTATTCGATTCATCCCTTATTGAACAATCTATCAAAATTGTTGAAGCCGACTCAGAAGTCATAATTTCCCTTCAGTAATATAGGTAAACATTAGACTAAATAAAGTTATTTTCAATGACCTGAGCTCTTTACAATCTATTCGAATTCAATGCACTCATAAAAAGATATAAAATATACTAAACTTTGAAATGTGAAAGGTTTTCTATTAAAGGTACACTCCTACTGATTTTGAAAATATTTCGTAGGAACATCAGATATCCGAGGAGATATTTGATTCGAATGATACATGATAATGTTTCTTTTTTTTTGTATTCAGCTTTTTTGAACAAGAATATTCCCATTTTGGCAGCAATGTATACTAAGGCTTGTAAAGATGACAATCAGAAATTCTGGGAATTTTCTATCGTTGTCAGTTTCAAATTATTGTGTAAAATAAACAACAATAATTGGCTATATAAAATGTAACACATTTCATCCTCTTAGAACTATAACTTTCAATGAGAAAAACAGATCTAGTGATGTATAATGATTCATAGAAAAGAAGTAATGAAGTTATTGAAGCATTTCTGAGCTACATAATATGAGACATTAGACGAAGCGTTCGAATCATAAGGAATCAGTAGCTATTTTAACTAGTCTCTAGTTTTGAGTTGCAAATTATGATTCGCCAACGTGATACAGAAAATGCAATTTCAAGAACATTGATTTTCATTGTTTTCTTATCTGAGTTAAGCAGTTGTTAAATAAAGATCTGAATGGCGACAATAGTCAAAGACGAAGATAGAAATTAAAAAGACAAGAAAAAATGCTAAATGAAACCAACTAAACCATACAAAGCTCTTATTATGATGATTATCAAAAAATATTTCTGTCGCTCAAGAGCCGAATGAATTTTGCTTTTATAAATGATACACGTAATAGAACCTTATGCCATAGAAACATCTTGTGAATCGTTTTGTTGCACTTGAATATATGAATCACATTCTTTACAGAAACTAAGACAAAAAGTATTCTTCTATCGTGTCAGTGTAATCCATAGAATTCAATTTCTCAGTGTGACTGACTACGGCAGCGCTTCAGTGACCTGTCCAATAAGACTTAACAGTGTTTCAGTGAAGTCAGTGTCAGAGTTTTACGCGTTCAGTGATCACTAACGCCGATGTCTAAAGTGTTCACTGAATACTATTGTCGGTGTCATCAGTGTCAGTATTTCAGTGTTTTCACCAAAACTGCACATCCCTAACCATAATCATACATGGACCTGCTACTGAAAACATTTTTTTCTGTACAGAACAGATGGAGCAACAGAGGCAAATGCCAGTATATACTAATAAAAATTTAGTGTACACCCTAGTGTGGGTGAGCTATTTGTTCATTGCATACTGGATTAGTTCAATGAAATGCAGACGAAAAATATCATGCATGTTAAGTAAAAATTTATATCAGCAAAGGCGAAATTTGAGAAAGATGATTGAAACATGATATTCATCGATTGAACACATCGAGAAAACATATATTTTCGCATAGAATAAAATTTCAGTGACTATGTTATCTAGAATTTTTACCACTACAGTCCCGACAAAATTAAAATCTCTTCATCCATTTCATACAGATACACAGTTTAGTGATGCATAAAAATTGATAGATGTGAAATTAAAGAATTCCTACCTTAAATATGCTTCTTAGCACAAATATTCATGAGAACGATACTTTGCAGTACAATTTCTCTGCAAAAAAACTATTATTCATCTACTGGAATATTATTCGGAGAAATACAATCCTGAACTATTGTGGACATATTGTCAAAACTATTAAAGCTTGTTAGTATATAAGTGTACAATTAAGCATCCGTTAACTTACATTCTCGTATTTATCGAAATTACGGAAGATCAAATGAAATTTTCTACCATATCACTTCATTAGGACTTTTTAAAATCAGAAGAAAAAATTGAAATTTCTCTTCTAGAGATAAAGTGGAATGAACCAAAAGAGGCCTCTAAAACAATAAAAGTCTGGATTCAAACTTAATTTTAGTAATTTCGTTAAAACGGATGGTTCGGGACTGATGACAATCACAAATAGAAAAAGCATCGAAAAAAAGTAAAAAATCACATTGAAGCTTACTTTTTACCAAGCGCTATGCCTTTCGCTGAAAACTTGAAAATGAAAGCAACACAAACAAATGCACCTTTATTTTGTTTTATTTCTCTCTCTCCCACTGGCAGTTTTAATGACTTCATTAACTGGTTTCTATGCTGACAGAACGATGCAAAAAAAGGACAATCAACAATTTTTTTTCCTTAGGGGCAACTCACACTGCAGCAGAAAAAACCATTAATCTCTGTTATTGCAAGGAATGAAAAGAAAAATATATTTGTTGATTGGAAATTTGAAGTGTTTCGTTTCTATATTTCGAAAAAGGAGCCCTATTGCTGAAACACAATCAACGATTGAATTTCTTGGAGGTCTCCAATAGTAAGCTCGAAATATATATTGTATGAAGTTATTTGTCTTAGGGGTCATGCTAATTCAAACA